TGTTCGATTGCTGTCTATGAAGAAAAAGTAGAGGGAACCGTTGAAAACGCTCTAAATAAAGCCCTTCTCAGTCGAGGAAACAGTCCAAGAGTAGTTATGATTTGTGAGGGATCAGACAAGAGCAGCGAGAGGACATGCAAACGACATAACGTGGCGGACTGCAGTGGTGGATCATTTCGACAGCACCCCTTAACGCCATCCCCTCCCCCCTCTCTTACTACTTTTCAAGGCGATACTCTTCCTAAGTTGTCCACCACTTTCTCAGGGCTTCGTTACTCACTAGTGAGCGGAAAATGAGCCGTTAATTGTTGAAAATTTAACATTGTCCAAACGATTCCTTTCAGCCGAAAGAAGAGGGTTGAGGTTATCTATCGAAAGTGTTCATCACATTGTTTACATCATTACTGAACGTCAATTGCCCTTGTCATCGTTGTTCCGGAAAAATTGGATACATATATTACCGCTCCGATAAACATGTTGCCAGTTCAATTCACAGTGCCACGGGGCACGTTCGGCCCACGTTAGATTAAGCACGAAACGTCCTTCAGAGTTTTTTCTGTGTTTTCCGTTTTCACCAAATGGCTCCCTGCCTTTGTGATCATAGAAAATGAGAAATTTCTGTCATTAGAATATTTTCCGCTGCATAGCGTCGAGCAATTCATAAAATGATTGATGAGGAGTAATTGGGAACTCTGACCTGAGAGTGGTCACTGAAATCCTATAGTATAAGAAGCTTAGAAGAGGCGTGTCAAGAGCCTAGGCAGGGACTATCTCGATCGAAAACAGAAGTAGAGTACGAAACAACTGTAACAACAGGCTCACTCGTTGTCGATCAATCCCTTTTTGGGGTGAGGCGTGCTTTCCACTGTCATTCAGAATGTTGTTCAATGTTTCATCCTCCCAGACGATCCGGCACCAAATCACCACTCCGGAGGGCAGAGGGCTTTGTTCTTCTAGGCGAGGGCCGATACGAGACCGCAGCGCGCGTGGCTTGCATGCCATGTCACACCACCATCTTCGCCTCCACACAACTTTATAGACCTCACTTGAAGGCGAGGGGCACGATAAATCTTCAAAACTTGTAGGATGACTACGTCTAGGAGAACCCCTTATAGAGCCCTATCAAGCTCCAATATACCAATACCCGCCCACCACGCCCACCCGCCCACAAATGTCCGAGTGATGCTGATGCTCGTATCGCTTCTTTGGCGAAGTACAATATGAGGCGAAAAAAAACTGGATACATGCAGCCGTATTTACCGTTGCGGATTACTGGCGCGATGCCAAGGAGAAACTCGTCCGAAAATGCTTTGTGAACTACGTAGAACAAACTCTTTTCGCAGGTTTTCGACCGTTTCACTTCGCTTTCCCCACTATATGGCATAGCATTTTTTCCCCTTTATATAGCACCATTATTTCACTATATAGCTCCCCGGCTATCATTTCACACCGAGTAACAAATTTTCGCACCTTATGCCTTCAAGTGTCTTGGCTCCCGCGCCAAAACAAGGGTTTCAAGAGCCAACTGGGATAAGATGTTCGCATTTTGGGAATTACTCAATCTCAGATGACACAATTCCAGCCAACTCTACCCCATGGGTAGCTCTTTGACCACAAT